GCACTACAATCTCTGTCACGGGGACACGCCAAAAAAGGACCACAACCCTAAAGCCCAAACCATAAACCCTACAAAAAGGATCACTCATCTTTGGAAATCCCCTTTTACTTGGTTCAGCTGCCGAGGCTCCAGCTCCCAGCAAACAAATGGGTTGTCATCAAAATGATGGGCCCCATTTGTTTAGAGGTTATAGTATGGCACCTAATATTTGGGGATGCTAAACTGGACCCTCATTGTGGAAACTACCCGAATGCCTTCCAGCTTAAAGCACCGTCAAGAGGAGTTGGCGGATCCTTTGGAAATCCGTATGAAGCTCTGCAGAAAAAATTCTCATGAAGCACTCCGAGTCTACATATCCCCAGAATCATCCATGGCACAGTCCCACCATACCCTTACATGAGCTACTGTATCTAAACTCCTAGTATCCCCAATAGCCCCTGCAATACTCCCCTGTATATAACCCCCTTCAAGGAGCTTTGAGACTATAGCTCACATGGAGCCTGAGGATCCTTCGTTATTTGTCACCCTACATTACATATTAATTACATATAGGTGGTTGTCAAAGTTATGGTCCCTTTTTGGATCCCTATTTTCATACGGCCCCTAATATATAGGGTACCCAAAAAGGGGCCACAATTTTGACAACCACCCATATTAATAGCAGCAAGGCAAGTTCAAGATACTGCCACCCCGAATGCATCAATCCTGCGACTTTGGATTTTGCGCCCACCCAACAGGGGTATAATGAGGGTTATATATAGTGGTTATATAGGGAATGTATAGGGAAAATGGAAAAGAAAATGGAAGCTACTATTTAGGGTTTAGGGGTATTATCAGTCCCACAGTATTGTCGCAATGTAATGTAGCCTATGAGATGATCTTGCATATTACTGTTACAGGGGAGCATGATCCAACCAAACACTAGAAGCCCCAAACCCAAATCCCACCCCTAAGCCTAAACCCTACCCCTCTCAATCTGAAACCCAAGGACGGTACCAAGCCCAAACTTTTGCCCTAAACCCAAAGCCCAAACCCTAATCCACCCCAAACCCCTAAGCCCAAGGACAGCATCAAGCCCAAGCTTTTCTGGGTTACTGTTAAGGGTTTCAGGTTTAGGGTTTACTTACTAAAATAACGACACCCCATCATTTATTAAATGCCACTAGTATGGTCTCTGAATTTGAGTTGTCAACTGCAACCCCAGGAGAACGTAAACCCTAAGCCCTAAAAACGCTAAAACTTAAACCTTTAACCCCTAAACCTTAAACCTTAAACCCCTAAACCCTAAACCCCTAAGGGTTTGAAGGCTTAAGGTTTTAGAGCTTATGGGTCTGAAGGACGAAACCCTAAACCCTAAACATGAAACCCTTCCACCCTAAAGTCCTAAACCTTGGCTAGGGTTTAGGGTTTAGGGTTTAGGTGCTAAACCTTGGCAGGTGAATGTCGTGGCGATGCCCCGCAAGGCCAAAGAAGCCGTGGGGTCGATCACGCGCGACTTGGCTCTGAAGTAAACGCGGCTTGGGGCTTCAAAGGGTTTAGGGTCTAGGGGTTTAGGGTTTAGGATATATAGATAGATAGGGGAGTATATAGAGAGAGGTATGGGGCATATAGGGGTTTGCAGGATTTAGGGTGTAAGGTTTAGGGTTTGGGGTTTGGGTTTGGGTTTCGAAGGGATATTTCAGGGTTACATAGGGATTATATAGAGATCGTATAGGGTGTATAGGGATTCATAGCGTTTAGGGTGGACGTTCAGGGTTTAGGGTTTGGGCTTCAACTTGAGTATTCCTTGGAATAGCTTCAGCTCTTACCAGCAATAATCCTCATAGAATCCCTATAAGGCCATCAAAAATTGGGTCAGGTTTTATAGGGCTTAGGGGTTAGGACGTAGTGGATTTAGGAGTAAGGGCTTGGTGATAAGATACTACAGGGGCTATGTAGGGAGCATACACGGCCTCAAGAGTGTATATCTGACCTGAGAGTTTGGTCCTCCCAAGTGTTGGTCAATTCTGTGGCCTCTCAGGGTGCTTCTTTCTTGAGGGAGGTGGGCGGCGGTGTCCTTAATAGCACGGAAGTAAGCATATGAAGTATTGCGAACTTCAGGATTCATGTGGGAACACCATGACTGCAAGTAGGGTTAGTTGTCATTAAACTTCTGTGTAGGTTTGCCTCTCGAAAATATCCTAGATCCTGCAGTCGCGAATGCATATCTCTTGCCGTGTAGTTCCACAAGCATGTTTCACTGCAACACATATGAGTGGACATTATGTGGGTATGGTGTAAGGTATACTAATCATGCACAATCCCCAAAGAGTACCATAACAGAACACTGCGAAGACTAGTTTCGAAGCGGAATGGCTACTCAAGGCGAACGCTGCTACGCCGCAAAGGCTCATACAAGTCTAAACTCCTTAAAGTGGGTCATATAGGGGATTAAATAGTGGAGTATGATAGGGGTTATTAAGGGGGATACTAGGATTTGAGATTCTGGCTCATATGCCAAACCCAACGCTCACAGACCCAGGCTCAGATTCTAGCTTCAAAGCACACCCTGCAACGCGAGATTTCTGAAGGCCATGACACCCAAAACACTTTAAGGGTGCAACCCTCTCAACCCCGCAGAGATCTCTACAATAATTTCTTTACAAAGCTTCCATATATTTGTTTAACTTTCTACAAGACTGCCGAAGATAGGACCCCCTTCAAGATAAGCATCCTTATGAGCAATCTTACAATGAGACCCATCCCTTTGAGAAACATCCTAAACCCCAAACATGTGAGCCCAAACTTTCGACCCGAAACCCTGAACATGAGGCCCTACACTTTTGACCTGAAGCTCTACACCTAAAACAACACAAGGCTCTAACTCCCAAGCCCTAACCCTAGACTCTCAACACCCAAGCTTAAGCCAAACCATACTGTTGATGATGAAATCCTGCATGACTGTAGTATACTACAGCTCCATAATCCCCAAGGTGCGGGGTGCTTATGGCCATGCAGGATTTTTCTCTGTATCCAAGTTATCCGTCAACTGTAAGTGCTGAACCCATGGCCTGCACTGCAGGCTTAACCCATTCAGACGGCCGCAGCATTGTCGTAAACGTGGAGTACAACCAGCTCGACTCTTTGGCGTTGGGGGATTCTCCAAATTCTCCCTACAGAATCCTTAGTGGTAATTTCCATGATCCCCAGAAACCCCTTAATTCTCAAAATTACCCGTACAGAATCCCTAGTGGTGACCCCCATGGTCCTCAGAGGGCCCCCTAGTGTTGAGAAACCCCCTCAATCATTCCTGCAACCTCCTATAATCCCTTTATAACCCCCACCCATATTCCTATAGAGACGCTGTGAACCCTGTGAGGCCATGTGGAAGATGAAAGACTTGAACCCTGCCTGCCGGGGGTCCTGCTGACAGGTGTATAAACGATGCGGTTGAGATTTGGTAGTTTCCATGAAAAAGGGACTCCGATAGATGCATTTTCTGATGTTGGGCACACACACAAATAGACCTTAGTCTCAAGAGATTCTACCGTCATTCCTGATGGAGAACCTTTCGACATTAATACGGTTGATACTAAACATCCTGCCGAACCGCTGCAAGCCTACGATTTGCAGAGTTTTTCTTACAGGCATATTCCTCAAAAAGAGGGCCCCACCCTACATATAGTTGCAACACAACAGTCCACAGTTGTTAGTACCCCGCACAAGTTGCCGCAGATGTAAAAAAAAAAAGGTAGAAAAAACCAGGCACCTGTCACAATCTTACCCTTGAACCCTAAGCCCCTAAACCCCTAAACCCTGAGCCCCTGAACCCTAAACCCCTGAACCCTAAGCCCCTAAACCCTAGACCCCTACATCTTCCCAGAGGCCCAGGGTTCGAAGGTTCGGGGCTCAGACTCTTAGGCTCTAGGCTGAGAGACCAATGAAATTCACCCGAAAGGGTGCGTTTCCGTAATTTGGGTGACCTTCCCAGACCCCCTAAAGGATCCAAAAAATGGCCTAGGTTCCCCAATGTAGTAATGGAGCCATTTTGGGGGGGGGGTCCATTTTTTGCTTTAGGGGGTCTGGGTTTGTTGGGTGCTCCAATAAGAAGGATTATAGTATTTCAGGGGTTATTCTGGGGTCCCCTATTTATGGAAATTGTTCTACCACGTAGCCATCTTGTGTAAAGATCTAAGAGTCCAGCTGGGAAGAAGCCCAGGAGCCTCTTCTGAAAGCGACTGGGCATCTGGAGGGCGACGTGAATGGGGAAGATGGCTTCTCGCCCTACCCAGGGAACACGAACGAGCCGCCTGAACCAAACAGAGACGTTCACTCTGGTAGATTCCAAAAAGGAACGTCATAGTCCTCATATGTTGCTTATCCACGTACATTTGCCCAGCGCCTATTACAAGATTGAATCTGATTAGGTTTGGGGATCTCGCACTTTGCTTGAGGTTTTAGGGTGTTAGGAGTCAACTCTTTTGGGGTTGAAGTCCCTGATTCCCAGTTGAGGCTGCCAACACATGCGAAGCAGGCTTTGATCCGCATGAAGGACTCTGCAACATCGACACCAGAACCCACCCGAAAGCCAAATGCAGGGTCAAAGCAGAGCTTTAGTATGCAGACTCAACTTCGTGCTCACCCCTGGGCAACAAGCCTACTTCGTAGGACCCCCATAGATCCTGGAGCCTCATTAACACACCTTGCGAAGCAACCGCAACAGAGCTATTCGCCAGCCAACTTTGCACCCAAAGTTGTTGGGGGCTGGGGCCCCAGTAAAGCCTAAAGCATTAAGCCCAAACCCCAAAGCCCTCAACCACCCAACTCCCTAAATTCGGAACATCCCCTGGCCCTCCCAAATCCCTCAACCCCTCAACCACCCAATTCCCTAAATTTCCCAAGATATCCCCTCCAACACTCCCCACCCAACTCCCTAAACTCTGAAGAGATCCCCTCCAACACTCAGGCTCATCTTCTCTCTCCCGGAGTATGCGGCACAGCTGGCCAAAAACGGCGGGCAGATGCCAGAATTCATCAACCCGCCGCCTGATTAAAGCCATTGGTGTTTTGGTTGCTGGTAAGGAGCTTAATTTGGGGAAGCCATATTCATTACTAGACATATATCGATTAGGGTAACTTAGTTTTGAGTTCCTTGCCAGCAAGCCAATTGTTTGAAGGCCTTCCGGGCGTGCAGACCTTCCTGGTGCTCTCCTCTCAGCTTATTCCAGCGATAGTGGGGGTTCCTCAAATTAGGGGAGGCCTCAAAAGATGCTTGAATATTTTTCCTACCGTCATATTTCTAGATGTTAAATTTACTAACCACTTTGTTCTTTCTTTCTTGGGTATCTAGATATTGGGGCCCGCATATCTCCAGCAGTTCATGTCCGAAGCGCCCACTTTTTGCTCAAGATCACTACCACTAGTGACTTGCAACACCAAGGCCTTCTTGAAGGCTCATGGCTGCCTGCTTTAAAGTTTAAGGGCGATGAGCAATGCAAAACTGTTGTTCATAAGGAGCCCGCTACCCTCCGTGGAGCTCCAAGTACATGCTGGGCCGTTTATCCTGATCATGGTGAGGGCCTATAGTTCTACCATATACATATATATAGGAGATTAGAGGTTTGGGGTTTAGGCTGTAGGTACTCCCTATAACCCCTTCCCATTTCAGAGCCTAGAGTCAGGAAGTACGCAGACGCGACGCGGACGAGCTTCAAGAGTCCGACGCGCTTGGAGTGCGCTCTGGAAAGGTCGAGCGGGTCGTTGGAGTTTAGGGGTTCTAGGACTTGGAGTTCTAGGGCTGAGGGGTTTAGATGTAGGCATGAGTCTGTGGGTCATTGTCGCTTGTTTTGTGAGGCCGATTAGGTGCCACATAAATGTTGTAAGGATTCACACAAGGCGCTAGTCTTGACGCTTCTGCCACACTTCTGCGAAGTTACTGTCGTCTCCTTAGGATTTTTCACTTTGATTATAGTATAACCTCTCGGAGGCACTAGAAATACTATTCTTATGTAAGCCTAGAGAGAGTACAGGTTAAGCCTGAATACTGTGGAGTGAGGTCTCCCAACGGATTGATGGGATTTCTGGGTGGTTCGAGGATAGGTATAGCTAGCTTTGGAGCTCTCCATATTCAAAGGCGGATATTGAGGCTTACAAGGGACCCCTTCTCGACGCCAAACCATCGGAGCAAAAGAGTAAGGAGCACCGAAATTTTAAAAACAAATCCTGAACTCATGTTACCCAATTTACCTCTAGCCGCTCTGCATCAGGAACCTGCATCCTCCCAGGCAAAGCTTTCAATTTCATAGACCTAAAACAACCAGAAGAAAGTCTGCTGGATTGGGCCGCCATCTCATCGCATCCTACAGCCACAACAAAGAAGTTCTGGGGCAATGGGTCTTCATGAAAAGTTCTGCAGGACTGCAAAATCTCCAGAACTCAGTGCTTTCTTCAGAAACGATGTGGAACTCGCGCAGACTTCAGAATCGAGAACCAGCATTCTTCAAAGCTAAGAAAGCCCAGAAAGACTTCTGCACGAGGGTTCATGCCCTGCTGCGCTTTGAGCTCCACATGAGCTATAGTCTAACTCCTTAAAGGGGCTTATATAGGGATTATATAGGGAACTACTATAGAAGTGATTCAGGGGGATATTAGGAGTTTAGACTATGGCTCACATTGAGGTATGATGCAAGATTATGCTAAGCTCCTCCCGACCGAAGCCAAAGCTGCTGGGACAAAACTGAAGGAAGGGCCGACTTCTTACATCATTGTACCCCATACTTTGGGTACTGCCCCCACCCAGTAACAGTTTAACTTAGGGGTCCTATTAAGGGCTATATATAACCATAGTATATTTATTATCCAACTGTTACTGAGGGGGGGCAGTACTATCCCCATAATGTATCCATAACATCCTGGTAATATCCCATCATATTCCCAAAATACCTATAAGATGGCCCCAGAATATCCATATAATAGCCCCAGTATATCCCCATGAAGCATCCTCAAAGGACTCTTCAATCTGCCCTTCATGTATCCCTTAAAGGGGTTTTCTGGGTATTATGTGGGAGACTGCTACTATAGGGGTTCTTAAGGGGGATACTAAGAGTTTAGACTATACAGCTCATCTAGTCCGAACCTCGCTTCCCAAAAAAGTGTGGTGTCTGATGTCTCTCAAAGTAGAATTTCTGTCGAGTAGATTGTTATGATTATTGCTGTTGTTATTACAATTTCCCCTACATAATCCCTTCCCCCTAAGAGTAGCACCCCCCCCCTCTTGCTAACAAATTTGCCATGGGGGAGCATCGATGGGCTGCGAGCTTTAGTTCAGGGTTTTAGGGCTTTGGGTTAGGGTTCCAGAAGCTGCGAACCGTGGTTCTTGTCAAAGTTCCGGGCTTGCGGACATCAAATGTAAAGCCCTGAGGGATGTCCAGAGTTTATCAAGGGCTTCCCTGAACCCTCAACCCCTGACCCCTAAACCATCTGCAGGCAGGGGAGAGTAGCTGGCGCACTATGCGATGAGAATACAAGGAGTACCATAGGGCCTTCTGGGGATATTCTGCTAGATACTATAGCAAGTCCTTAAGATGATCCCTTAGCACTCTACAATACAATCCCTTACCCCTATATAATGCTGCCAGCCAATTTGCTTTTGTTGCATTATGCTGGCTCCTCACATTACACCTAAACTCAAAACCCTACTCTTAAACCCTAAACCCTCATATCCTAATCCCATGAATCCTAAACCCTAAAGCCATAAATCCCTAACTACTCATCCAGAGCTATACCCTCAAGGTTGGTTTCACCCGATACCCACTGGAGTTCGGCTACTTTCCTTGCAAGCCTCTTGGTTGCTCTCAGACGATAAACGCTAGACCGTAAATAGCAGCTTCCATTGTCTTATTCATTATCCCTATATAACCCCCGATATAACCCCAATATACAGGGCTGAAGCTTTTGTAGGGCTGGCACTTCATCCTGCAACGTAGGGTTTTGCCCCGCCCTCATTTTCCTGTTTGCGAGAGAGCACCCTGAACTCGTAAACCCAGCCCGTGTCTTTGGAATTCAAGATTGTCAATTTAGTGCCTTGGGATTATCATCAAGGAACTTATGGTCTCAGATCATTGCAAGCTGCAGTTCTACAACGCAGAAGCTTCTGGGGGCTGTCAGAATTCTAGCCCTTGTGCGGGTCTGCACATAGTAAGGCCCCAAATACCCAGGGCAATCAGAAGAGCCCAAACTGAGCGGATTAAATAACCAATATTGGGGTTATATTAGGGGTTATATAGGATAATGGAAAAGAAAATGGAAACTACTATTCAGGGTTTGGGTTTCCGATTCAGCCGCCTAACTCAAATGGGGGCTTCCCAAAACTAGGGATACCTCTCTGGGGGTTCCACATAATAAGGGTTGTACTATTTGTCGAGTCTATATGGGGGCCACCCGATGTATGGAACTACCAAATCTTCACAGCAAGGCCCATGAAGACTGTATGATCAACTGCAGGAATGATATCGTCACAGCTGCACGGCTGGCAGCAACTTGGCAAAACGGAGCAACCCTCCCATCCAGACCTTTCTCTGAAGTTAGTCTGCCGGATGCTTTGTAGGGAGTACAGGAACATGCCAAAGGGAAAATGTTGGTCATGTTTTTGCTGCTGATGATGCCTGTCCACGTCTTTAGAGGGACCCTGTAGAATCTTTTGCCGTCCCCCAATTTGGAGATTCTCTAAACCCTAAACCTTTTCCAAGGGCTACTGTAGCCTGCAACCTCAGAGGGTGCAAAGATAGCCTTTAGCCAACCTATCTGAGGTTGATGTAAAGGTCCTCGGGAAATTATTCATGGTTCCTGTAGGGCTACAAGGAATAACAACAGGTGCCCAAAATGTGCAACACTCGTGATATGTTTCGCCGGGGGGCGCATTTGACATTACGGGGTGCGAGTGTCTAACATTGGATGGGACCGCATCCGCAGACGTCCATTAACAGTTGGATAGTAATTGAGTTATACATAGCCCTAAACCCTAAGCCCTAATAGGTGCAGTAACCAAGGTGTTGCCCACGACATCGTGATGAGCCCTTTCCTGGGCCCTCCAAACTTTGGACTGTCCCACCCTAGGGTTTACAGCCTTCAACCCTTAACTTTAAAAACCTTAATCAAATTCTGACACCCAGGCCCTGAGCCCTAAAAGCTCGATCTCAATCCTTGACTTACTGGTTCTTATTAAAGAATAGACAATATATCATTTAGGGATTAGGCAGGGATTTTTTCCCTTGCTCCCTACAAAGAGCCAGCAAGTTAAAGTCGAGGCAGAAGGCACTCCGCCGCATGGAGCTGCTTCAGCTGAAGCTGCTGTCTACCACGCAAACTGTGCCTTTGAGTTTTTTCTTTAGGGTTCAGGGTTTAGGGTTCAGGGTTTAGGGTTTAAGGTTTAGGGTTGAGTCATTCTTGGCCCCTTCTTGGGGTTTAGGATAATTAGGGTTGTATAGGGGTTATATAGGGAGAATGGAAACTACAGGGATTATAGGGGGTGCCTTGAGTCATTCGGTTGAATGGGATTCCACTGGGGTTGTATTGGGGTTATGTTGGGAAATGGAAAAGAAGATGGAAACCCTAGGTCCATTTAAAGGGATATATAGGGCTTATATAGGGAGTTTCTCCAAATCCAACCTCATAGTCTCTTTCCACGTTGGGCGGGCTGTTAAGGGCAATTCGCTGCCGTACACCCTCGACAACAGGTAGGCGGCCGCCAAATTTTTGGAAGTTTTGACATGAGGTCTCAAAAGGAGGCCTATCACTTTCGAGAATTCGCTCAGATAAAGAGTCCTGCCGAAAATGAGAGATCAGTCAAATCACAAAAACTGCCATTTTCAAAGCATTACAGCTTCCTCAAGAAGCCCTACTACATGTCAGATCCTCGTAGGTAGCCTTATGTAGCCCTACGCAATGGTTGTGCGATCTACAAAACTGGCCGGGCACCAACTCTTAACCCTTCAACCTTAGAGCCCTGAGCCCTAAACAAGACGGTTTAGTGTTTGGGTGGGCGACGTATTTCACATTCGGGGCTAGCAGGGTGTTACCTGCTGGTGCTTAGTAAGGAATGCGGAAATTGATCCCTTTGGTAGCCCCTACATGAGCGCCAGAAATGTGTGGTAGTCCCAGATTATGCATCATGGAGAAAAGATCACTCGTAATGGTACAAGTAATTGTAGTAACAGCAGAAGAGCAACATGAAGAGCACGGACTAACTGCAATAGTAGCAGTAATCGCATGTGGTAGAAATATTCACAATAGTACAAATGGCATCCATAATAGTTACATCAACACGACTAGTCATAGCAGCTATAGCAGTCGTTGTGGAAACAGTAATATGTGTAATAAGAATCCTACGGGGGAATACAGGGTATTGTGTATATAAGGTGGTGCAAGATTTCCTTGCACAGCATTCTAGCCCCTTGACTAGCCCATGATGACCTTATTGTAACCCACTTTAAGTACATTCCTTATCCCATTTGTGATTCCAGTAACTGCTTCTGACTGGGCGTATAACCTTACTTATACTTCGGGTAATGTACATAAGTCCAGTTAGTGGGGTTATAAGTAGGGTTATAAGTCCAGTTATACGTACTTACTAAACCCTAAAACCCTAATCCTTCAACCGTAGACCCTAAATCCAAGTCCATAAGCCCTCAAGTAAGGTTACTAAGTCCCATGAACCTTCACGCACGGCTCAGGCGAACTGCTGCGGATCCTAGGTGCAAACGTGGCAGCTCCTTCCGAGCGGCGTTGGCGGGGCGGCCCCCAGTCACCGGGCCTTTTATTACGCTTTAGGGTTCAAGGTTTCAGCATTGAAGGGTTAAGGATTTGAGGGTTAAGGGTTTAAGCGTTAAGGGTTTCGAGGTTTGGGGTTAGAACAGTTTGCCGTATCCTTGGGGTCATGCAGGCTTCAAGCTTTAGGCTTCGAAAATTGGCGCCGAGGGTTTGCGGAATGGGCAGCTAGGCATACGCTGATGTTTCCTAGCTTTACGATGATGATGTGGCTGGCCGGGTTGATCAGGATGAATTTCCTTATGTGCTGCTACAGCAGCAGCAGCAGCCGTCGCAGAAGTATCAGCAGGGGCCAGGGGCCGTGGTAGCCATAGCCGTTTTGTGGAAGGTCAGCAGGGGCCGCGGTAGCAATAGCCGTTTTGTGGAAGGTAACGGTTTGTGAAGTTCACGCAGTCTTTATTTCACTCCGCGTGCCTCATGTGACTTGACAATTGTCAGAGCAACTGCCATAAAGTTGTGCCTACACCCAAAGAGCCCAGTGTACATTTATCAAGGAACACACCCAAAACCGTGTGCTGTAAGATATGCTACTTTTGCTAAGTATCTGCTCGTAGGTTAAGCGTTACTGAGGGCCAGCCGTCTTGGTCATAGGATCCCACGGCCATCCAGCAAAGCATATTTGCGCAGTACTGATGATTAGCCTATTCGTGTTAACCAACACACCCATTTTAGAATGAGCTAACTTCAGTGGGAATATCAAAGTTCCACAGGGAGCTTGTACCGGTGTCTTCATTTTTGCGTTTGTCTCGCTTCCCTGCCCCCTCATCAAACTCGTAGTCCTGTGACCAAATGAGCTATAGTCTAAACTCCTAGTATCCCCCTGAGTAACCCCTATAGTAGTTCCCTATATAATCCCCTATATAACCCCCCCTTTAAGGAGTTTAGACCATTGCTCAAATGAACGCTGCCTAGGCTAATGGGCCCAGCAGTGGCTCCTGGTCTGCACTTCATGGGTCTCGGGTTTACGGATGTTATCCCAACAGCAGAGAATCCAATGGACAAGATTCCCAGAAGAAGGATTGTAGTATTTGGGGGTTGATATTGGCCCCCCCTATTTTACGGAAACTATAACCTTTCCAATATGATCCTCCTATATCTCCAATACCCCCTCACCTATGGAGGCTGGAAAATTCTGCCGGTTTTTTCGTTGAAGGAAGCAGTACTGGCGCCTACTTAGATCATTCTAAAGTCGCCCTTGTTATGTTTAGGTCATCGTTATGAGGTTGCGGCCGCAAAAAAACAAAAAAGGAAGGTCAAATTGAATACGGTTTGGGGTACAAATTTCGGGGTGTAGGGGGTCTGCAGTAAGTTGTAAGTGTAGCGGGCTTTTGAAGGTGGTACGGGTTGCGATGCAGATTCAACGTAGACTCCAAACGGCAACTTCCATAAAAAGAGAGACCCCAACATCAACAGAATCCTTATTATCGGGACCCCCAAAATGGTATCCCTAATTTTTGCAAGCCACCCAAATTAGGCAGCGGTATGGGTAGTTTCCGAAGTTAGGGTCCCCTCTTCGTATCCCTACATATTAGGTGCCAGAGAATATAGTCTATATCGAAAAGGGGCCCATAATTTGGAAAACAGCCAGTATTGAGCCAGACGGAAATGCTTTGATCTCAGCGTGAAGCGTAGAGAGCAGCTGATTGGGTATGCGCTTCCGTGAAGTACTCCTCCTTTTCTGGGCTGCTGTTGAGGAACTTGAATTTAAGTTAGCATATTATGCGTGTGTGGTGAACAACCTGGTTTCCGTTTATAGAAACCCTTAACCCCAAACCCTACATATACCCGATTTAGACCCTATATACCCTTATTATGGTAACTTGAGTTAAGTTCCTTAACAGCATCCCTCGCAATTTATTTGAATTGTCCGACGTGTCCCAATAAGGAGCGGCCGTAAAGCTTGCGTGATGCTTGTATCCTCACAATTGTTAAGGGCCTTAAACCCTAAACCCTATACCGCAAACTAGCATGGAACCAGCCAGACACCCCGTAGAAAGACCACAGTCCTTCTGAGAGCGGGCTCAGCAGGGAACCCTAAACCTCAAGCCGTAACCGTAAACCCTAAACCGAAAACCTTAACTCTGAAACCTCAACCCTATATCTTTAACTGCAAACCCACAGCCCCAAAACTCAACTTTAAGCCTTTAACATTAAATCGCAACAGTAACCCCAAACTGTCAGCCCTCAACCCTCAAACTTTAATCGTAAACTCTCAGCCCTAAACCTCAACCCTTAACCTGGAACCCTCCACTCTATGGGGTTATACAAGGGTAATGACAAAAAAATAGAACGCTGTAAAATATTTGGGTATATTTTGGTATATGATAGGAATCACCCTGAACCCTAAGATACGTTTCAAAGGTCCTGTGGCCGGACTTCGCGCCCTCGCTCGCCGAACTGTGCAAAAAGTTGCCCTGTCCAGTACCATGGCCATGCTGGCTATTTATCGAAATAGGGATGATCTAGGGATTTCATATGGCTTAGGGATTAGAGGGTTTAGTTTAAGGGGTCTTTAGGTCGGTTTGGGGATACTTCCCTTATAATTATGAAGAAACTTGTTGTGGTCTGCATGCATAGGTTTTTCGTGAAGCTGATTAGTGTGTACATGTGCTGCGCTTTCTTTGGAAACCCTGTTTTTTTATCAGAATGCCAGGAAGGCAAAGCTCGCGCGGCATAGCTTCTAAAGGCAGTGCATGTTGAGCGCCAGGTTCCGAATGAAAGGATGACAGCGAATCATGATGGAGGAGTTATATTGAAATTATGCGCGTCAGATTCTGGATTCTTTTAGGGAGTAGGCGTGCCAAGAAGGAGTTAGAGATTTAGGAATTAGGCTTCTGAGTAGGGGTTTTGGAGGCGATGGAGAACAGCATCACTAGGCTCCTAGTTGTAGTTTCCTGGGATTCGTAGTATTTAACGACGGCAGACGGCACGCATATACAGAATCCACAAAAATAAATATGATTCTAAACATATACCGATGTGCATGGACGTGTCCATTGCGGGTGGCCGCCACCCTGTTTGGTGACATGTGGGATTTTCTCAAAAGTGGAAATGCTACGAGGAAGCATGAAATGAGCATTTCGGGATTGGCGGGAGGGCTTGGACCCCTGGCTTGCATTTGTGTGTTCCGGCGAAATACGTATTCCTGTGTAAGATCTTAAAGGAACAGCAAACGAGGTAAACTCCGCCTGCTTCCTCTCTGACCACAAAGGACACCATTAGCCATTGCCCGCCGCACTGTTCCAGCTTAGCGGAAATGCCTTATCGAGTCCGTACAAACAGATCAGTGGTAAGTAAGCTATTATAGGCAAAGGCGCAGATATCATGTGGCTGCATGTCATTCTCTCCCAGAAGCAATGACACCACAGCAGCGCATAAACTGGGTTGCTGTTAAGGAACTTAAATTAAGTTACCATAATGGGTATATATAGTAGATAATAGGGTTTCCCCAACATAGTAACTTAATTTCAGTTCCTTAACAGCAACCCAGTAAATCCAAAGCTTTGGCCACTGTAAAACGAAAAGCCACACATTGTGCCCTTGTTCACTTCTTTGTGCCCTTTCTAAGAGCTTCTCCAGAGCCAACGTATTTCTCTAGACTATTATCCCAGTATAACACCAATATAACCCCAATATAACCCTAATATAACCCTAATCTAATCCTAATATAACCCCAATATATCCCTAATATAACCCAACATAACCCCAATAAAAACTCTAATATAACCCCAATAAAACCCTAATAACACCCCAATACAACCCTAAGAGAAAGCCTAGGAAAAGATTTCCATCGCGTCTGGTAGCAGTCTGGAGCTTCGCGGGCCCAGAGGGGTTCTGGGACTGATTCCGACTGTAGTCCCCATTAGGTAGATAGACCATAGGGTGTAGGGTTTAGGATTTAGGGTCTAGGGTTTACTGGGCTATGTAAGGAATATAGGGTATAGAGTATGGGGTATGGGGATCTTATTATAGTACACCCAAAGCCATATTCTATGTACTTGAGGGGGACTATAGGCTCTCAGCTCAACGTTTAGGGGTTTGCTGCAGAAGCTTGGGTTCGTACTGTTGAGGTCTTAAGGGTTCTAGGGTCTGGGATTTGAAGGAAAGGCGCAACAGTTTTTGTTGTGTACATGTAGGGTGCACATTGAAAAAAAAACAGCAGAAAAGAAATGTGATTTCCTTAAATGCGCGTCACAATACAAAACCTAAACCCAAACCCTACTCATAATACGGAGCCTTGAATATGACCCCTATTAATTATAGACTGTTAATGGGTGGAGGCAGGACCCAAGTAATTCCATCAAACTCCCAAGTTTCTGGGCAGGTCTGGTTTGGCCATCGAGCATCTGAACCTGGAGGCTGCCTGGGTTTAGGGATTTAGGGTTTTAGGGTTTAGGGTTTAGAGGCTTAGGGTTTAGGGGTGTAGGGTTTTGGGGTCGGGGGTGTAGGGGCTTAGGGTTTAGGATCTCGTGTGGGTTTCATGGCTCCAGAACACCCACGCCTACAAGGCCCCAACCCGCTGAAAGTAGTGGTTTTCAACCGTATAGTGGTATTAATGAGGAAGTTCATATGCATAGTGACAGGTGTAGTAACACAAGCTATCGGGAGAGTAGCCTCACATGGGTGACGAGGTTAACAACAGACACCTCTTCCTACCGTGAGGTTCTTGCATGGTTGGCTTCCACGTTTGGATCCCACTTACACCATACAAAACCAGAAACAAAACGTGCTTAACAAAAACCAAGTCCAACACAACCCAATACAAACCTTCAAAGGCCTCTCTCAATCCTCATACATTGGTTATCCTTAGCACTTTCAGAAAAAGCGGCCAAGTTTGCAAAAGCAGCTGAAAACATGAATCCGCTGGATCCGAATCCCAACCCCAAAATCTTTAACTGGGAGTTTCAAAGGCTTTGGGGGCTACCGCTTTTGTCAGAGTCCATGTAGCAAAATGTATAACATTTGGGGGCCTTTTTGGGAATGCCAGCAAGATGCATCGTGCGCGGATCTTGACACACCTGCCTTATCCTTTTAGCCTACTACCTTACCCTGATACCCTATTAGCCTACTAACGCTACGTACCACCCAACCATAACCTAGTCACCCTACCCTACGCCCAGGGCGCCCTCCGGGTTGTGGCTGGACCGGGTGTGACACTTTGCATTCGCAGCCTTGCAGCATTGCTTGCCCAGGTTGGCCTGGAGGATATTAAAACATGGTACCATTGTGTAATTTACAGGAATCCGATGTACTGGTCTTCTTGGAGTTCGAAACTCCTACGCAGCTTCAAAAGATAGACATGCACCTAACATATGACATTACAATCGGAAAATGTGTTATACAGTCTGAGGTTGTGAGTCTCCGGGCTTGGGCAACATGGGTGCAATTTTTGTGGTGGCATCCCAACATGCCAAACCTTGCATTTGATGGGTGTTACCTCATGTCTTCTTGGCAAGGGGCTCCTGCAAATGCAAAGTGAAGCAGAAGGAGATGAAGAAAGGACGAGAAGAGAAGGATGTTTGTCTTCTAACTGCATGAAATCGGATTGTCATCAGTGTTTTTCAGCTGCCATTGCAGGATACATGTTGACTGCCGGGGCAAAGACATGAGGAGCGTGCTCAGGAGGATAAAAGAGATCAGGTACTCCTTCTCAGAAAAGAACAGGGGAAATCCTGCCCTAGAAACCTCACACCGTGGTTGGTAGGTAGCCCATAGCCTTAAACGCCAAACAATCAGATACAACAAGCCTTGAAACATCCACTGTTCTCCCCTGAGCCCTGAAGCCCCCTTCCATGAAGAATGCTGCGCATGAGGTGAACTGACCATCCGAAATCGCGGAAGAGAGTTCGTTGCCCTCAGCGATGCTGAACAGGCAGTGCAGTGCAAGTGAAGAGAGCAAATGCTGGTACTATGGGGTCTAATTCATTACCAAGGTCATGATTCGAAATTCCTCGTAAAAGCCTGGTATAGAGTATTTCAAATGGACCTCATAATGCTAGTGGTAATTATTCAGGCCCCTACACTACAATGCCAAATACAAGCTCCGTTGCTACCGTTGCTGCCACTGCTTCTATTGCTGCTTTTCTTTGCATTTCAAGCTTGGTCCAAACAGCTCAACCTATGGTATTGGATTAGATCGTGCTTTGAAAGAGCATTTCAAAAAGGTGGATACTCTGGTCTTTGGCCAGCCCTTTGTACGGCAGTACCCCCACATGGCGAATACAAAGCTTAAGCTACAGTGCTGCCACCACACAACATCTTCGCAGATGGTTGACAGGTCCCTTTGAGGGATCCCTAGAGGTATGGTGACTATGGGCCGCTCTAGGTCCAAGCTATGGGCCCTGAAATGGGTTTGTGGAAACTCTCCGAACACTGCCAACAGAATCAACATCAAAAGACTTCAAAGTAGGTGGTACCCTTATAGTCCCCCTTAAAGTAGATAGAAAATGGCTTTGGGTATATTAGAATAGAATCCCCATCTACCAAACATTCTATCTACTTAAGGGGGACTATAATTCCTAAAGCCTAAGCCCTAAATAGTAGTTTCCATTTTCTTTTCCATTATCCCAATTTAACGCCTAAAACCCCAATATCTACTTAAGGGGACTATAGGGTTTGTACCGCTCATTCTGTGACTCTGGGATCCAAGCCCCAGGGGTACAAAACCTATGGGTGCAAAGGAAGCCTCACTCATAGTATCAGGGGCTCAAAAGGCGAAATAAAACTAGGTGGGTTAAAGGGTCCCTATGTAGATTCTAGTCTATTGGGGCTTATGTCCTTTACCCCACCTACCTTCATGCCACCTTTTGAGCCCCCTGATGGTACTTTTTTCTACTTCCATGTAATACTCATGCAAATGCACAGTTCATTCTAGCAATGTACTGGGAGAACTTATAAAACTTGCAAAGCCCTAGTCACACGGTGCAAGATTTATTTTCGTCAGCTCTGAGTCGTTGTCGGGAACAGCTCTGCATGCTCAATCTTCCCCTTACCACACAGAATTTCACAAACCCCACCCTGTGATAGTGGTATACTAGGAATATGAGAGGACCCTAGTATAATCCTTATCATCCCTTATAGTCACTATCACTGGGTGGGGGGGGGTCCACCTGAACTTCCCCCTGCCAGGACGGAGAAGCACCGGAAGAGCTCCGCATTCGCGGCTACCGCTGCTCCTCACGCTGCAAGGGTCGGGGTTGTCCTTCAATACGTGGGGCAGCTCCCTCTCCGGATGTTTAGAGATGAACCCGGGGTTGTACGGGTCTCCATTCCTGACTTGATAGGGTTCGTTTTGAGAAGCTCGCGGGGAGGTAAATGGGACTGGGGTTGCTGGAGATAGGGTCTAGGACTTAGGGTAAAGGTGGGGGACGCACCCTCAGGGTCAAGGTATGAATGCTTTCCGGCTGCAAATGCAGTGCTTTGAGATTCAAGGAAAATACCGATGTCTTCACAGAACTCTAGAAAACTTGGGTACAGTTGCTTGGTTTATTCGTGTGTAGCGGCTCCAGATACTACTAGGTCCTCGTAACCCTGAAGCCCCAAGTGCCGTTCAGGATTTTGAGGAGAAGGTGGATCATCTGTTCTATTCTGTCTCTGATCTTCTGACCACCATCAGTCATGGTTTCTTTTGCCCTGCTACCAGTTGGAGATTTAACATACAACAAGACATTCAGACTTCCAAGTCTCCATATCTGTTGACATTGGATATCCTCGAAGGTGTCCTCAGGTTGAAGGCTTTGGGGCGTGATTCAGTTTGTGCTTCAGACTGGTTTCGTAAGGTCTTTGGCAGCTCTTCCAACTGAGATGGCAAGAACCCTGTGAATTTAAGCGTGCGAACGGCAGTCGTGTACCTGCTTCCAGGATTCATCAGGGTGCTTTAGTCTTGTACTTTTGTAAGGATATAAAGATTGCAGATGCGAGACCACAGAAGTCGCGATTCTTTGACTTTCAAGAGACGTCGATGGAGAGAAAGGTTGTGAACGACTAGGCTTCCTGGGCATGACCTTTTCGAGAGGCATGGCTAATGAATGAAACTTAGAAACCGCTCCCCTTTCAATCCCTTTTCCTAGATTAAACGCCAGACCTTTAGCCAAACCCTTATTGCCAAAAACTCAAGATTTAGGTGTGGATCACGAGGTTGAGGTTGTCGAGGTCCTTGAGCCGGGACACTACTCCTATGCAAATGGAGTCTTATCCAAAGAGCCGGCCTAAACCCAAAGACTGGGGTGCTCTCGCACAAGTTTTCCAAGCAAAAAAGATTGCATGTCGATTTCGAAGCTTTGGGAATCAACGCATAGCACACTTTGCGTTGAATGGCTCCGTCAACACTGCTTCCACCCTTTAGGCTCATGGATTGGTGAACCTTGAAGGAGTCAGGGAGAGTTTATGCCAGTGAGAGCCAGATGTAGCACTGCGCCAGCAGAAAGATATCCTGACACGAGGATGAACCTACTGATGGCTGAGATTTGTTCGATGACTTGAACCTCCGCGTACTGCGTGAAATTATTCTTGAAACAAGCTCTGGCTAGGAACATGGATGGATGTGGAGGCTCTTGCCAGAGCATTGTACCCTGTGCATAGCACACATAACTCCCATCCTGAAATTTCCGCTTCAAATATGACATGGATTTGAATGGGAAAAACAAATCCGAGAAATCTCACAACGACCTTTGCTGCTTCAACAACACCATTTTACTCGCTTGAACTTTCGCAGCGCAGGAGTTAGTGGAGGCGCAGAGCTGTACTACAGGTTAATCATGTCCACCTAAAAATTGAACACCTCTGAGACAGTCAGCTACACCCGAAACACTACACCGTACCTTAACCCTTTTGGGCTTCTTTCGGAAGTGGCCGATGCTTTAGTGAGGAGATCGTGCAATATCAGAGGGGAAGCTCATTTTTGCAGGCTCATGGTCAAAGGAACACCGCTGAATCCTGAGGGCCCCCGGGTGAAAATTCCGAATCCCTGCCCCATTCACTGCACGGGCCTCAAATGCAGACATTTGTCCTGGAGACTATGTGGGTTTGTTTGGCGTGTTGGGATAGTGTATGTTGTTGATGAACTTTACTTCAGATGGGGAGTATCATGGTGACCCTTTTATGGGACAAGTTTCATCCATCAAGGACCTACATGAATTCCCCCTGGTCATCGCCTAAGCCCCAGACCATACACCCTAAACCCTGAACCAAAAACCCAAACCATAAATTCAGAGCCCTGAACCGTGAGCCCGCAAGTCATCCAAGCTATTGAACTCCCAAATTGTGAGCTGGATCCCACGTTGCAGCTGAAACCAGCCAGTCAAATCTAACGTCATCAAAGGGTTTAGGGTTTAGGGGTTTCAGACCTGTAGGGAAAGTCAAGCTGCAAAAGTATTCCATGCTACACTCTAATATCATCAAATTCCCATGACCCCGGCAAAGCCCTGTTATCTTGAGCCTAACCCTTCAGCCAACAGTCATGAGCAGCATAGCCCTGAGCATCCAGATCCAATCCTAACAACCTTGAGACATGGCCCAGAAACCTTAGAACCAACGCCGAGGTTAACCCCGGAGAACCCCCTCGGAGCCCAAAACCTACCACCATAGCTGTAACAGCACTAAGGACTTCATTGCCATCTGATTCCCTCTGCAGAATCCACTGCCCTAACCCTTGATCTCAGAAAGACAAGCAGGTTTTGATATGCCAACCCCTCAGTGGCTAAACCTGTCCGTTATACTGTACCGCGGATGGCGCGCCATGCTGGAAGATGTGGCCACCAGCGAGGCAGCCACTTCACTTGTGTGGCTTCACCTTTTGAGGGCTCCCACCGAATCACCTGCATGAAGTCACACAACACATTCGGTGTAGTCAGGAATGGGTAAGGGGTTTTCACTGGTAGACATCAACCTTCAGGTGAGTAAGTAAGGATCCACCACCCTCCCTCCACTTCCCAACTTGCACATAGGCGGAATGTGAGAGAGCGAGCAGTATGTGTAGGCAGTGCATGAAACCGTTGGGGAGTTATTTCAAAGAGCTTGCCATGGTCAAAGAAGAGTTTAGATTATAACTTACAACAAGACTAGCCTATACCGGGGAAGTCCTCGTCCAGGTTCCCAGATCCATTTGCTGAAAGGCATCCGAATGTTTCAAAGGAGCCATGCGTAAGTTGATCGAGTGGTGGATGCAGAGTAAAATTGGAAGGGTTCTCTACGGATTACATCAATTCATGTAGGGATGATTTTTTGTTATCATGTAAGACGCAATTCAGCGGCCCTGTATAATCCCTCATTATCCCTAGGACAACTTTAAGCCCTGAATCCAATGTACGAAAACTCCCCCTCCAAATATTTAACATGGAACCGCCAAAAGAGCTTGCAAGACCGCCCTACATTTCAAAAGCAGGATTCTGCAGGCTTCCAGATTGGCTTGGGGAAGAATATCCTTGACAGTGGTAAGTGAGATGATGAGTTGCATTCATCGTTACCTTTTACCCCTAAACATACCCTAGCAAAATAAGAGTCCTTTGTGCAGTCCGCGTACAATCTTATAGGGGCCCGTTGACTTTCCTTATTTCCCAATGTTGCCAAAGCATCCACAAGGGGGATCCGCCTTGAGAGAGCAGGTGAGTAATTTCTTTCTTTTGCTATATTGTAGTCCCCAAAAGAGCATAAGATTATAGCCTTCCTTTGCTTATAGTATTTGAGAAGAGGAATACATCTCATTTGGCTCAACCTCCAGAAAATGTTGGCAAGCCCGTATCCATCTTGTTTTCCGTTTGCTTGTCCATTTGATTCTCCATCGTTGGGTACGAGGTTCAACCACCTGAACCTTAAACCACTGAACCTTAAACCTCAAAACCCCTAAACCCTAAATCCCCAAACCCTGGAATCCTAAATCCCTAAACCTTAAACCATAAACCCTTAAGCCGTAGACCTACTCAGATGGCCCCTTGCCATCTTCCTATGGCTGGCCTCAGAGCCCAGCTGGGCCCAGAAGGGAGACTTGTCTGCTTACATCGGGGCTATGGGATGGTTACAACGGGATTTCATAGGGCTTTATAGAGATATTTGAGGGTTTCCCAAAATTAGGCGTACCATTCTGGGGGTCCCCATAATAAGGATTATAATATGTTGGGGTCCATATTGGGGTCCCCTTATTTTGGGAAACTACCATTTGAGGATTTTGAGGGGGATTAAAAGGGTTTGTAATTGTTCAGTTCAAGTTTTCAGCTGACTGTTTCGGGCTCATGGTTGTTTACGTCAGACGATGGTAAGGCAAGGCGTTGGATACCTGGAGTCTCTTTCGATGAATTAAAGCATTGTATTTGTAGAGTGTCAGGGCTTGCTGTGTTTTCTTGGACATGGAGTACCTTAAAAGGAGTTTTGTTTTGGGCTCGATTTGGACTTCAGGAATTGAGAGTGGGTAATCTAGGTATTTAGGTGGTAGAGGCTTTCGGAAGTGGGAGCTTAGAGGGGGATGGGTCAAAGGTATTTGTGCTTCATGGATTTAGCACGTTGTCGCTTGGAATGCAGGCCTTCATCATCTCAACAATAAAGTGTACTCGGGGGCATCCGGACTCAACCAAGTTTACAGCCCTGAACTCCAACGTGAAGTCCTGAAACCCAAAGCCCCAAAGCCCCCAACCCCAAGCATTCGCCTTCACGCCCCCGACGATCCCTGGGCCTTAAGTCTTAATCCCACAGCAAAAGACTTCAAGGACTAAACTTTATTTGAGCTGTAGTCTAGACTCCTTAAAGAGTATATAGGGGAGTATATTAGGGGTTCCAAGGGGGATACTAGGAGCTTAGACTGTAGCTCAAGTTTTAACCTTGAACGAAACCCTACACACAGAATGTATTATAGTGGTTTCCATTTTATTTTCCATTATCCCTATATATATATATATGTATATCCCCAAGGTTTTTTGCTAAGTCTTGAACGAAACCCTAGACGCAGGCCTTGGCAGCCTCAACGATCCCTGCGACTGCATGCAGCACCACGACTTCTGGGACACTCGGGCTAGCATTTTGGGGGAGACAGCTTAGCCCTGGTAGATTGAGTCCCCCCTAAGTAGCTAGAATAAGGCTGAAAAAATAATGAGGGGGACTATAGTTCTAAGAGTCTGTAGGTTTCCTTGACAGGTTTTTGTGAGTGCCCTGTCTAGGGCTCTGGAACAAGAACGATAGAAGACTTTCACAATTAATATCGAGGCTACCTTTGGGCTATCTGCTGGTTTACCACGATCTCCTCAAAGAGTGTTGAAGCCGAAACCCTTACACCCCAAACACCGACACCCAGGACCAAAACCTCTAACCCCCACCCAAACACCTAAACCCCTGAATTCTACACCTAAAGCCCTTGAATCTCTCAACCCAAAGAGCCCAAAGCCCGAGGTCGCATCCCGGAAGGCTTTGGTCGACCTTTTCTGGACACCCGACTTCCCCTTGCGGGCGTTGGACCCCAACGACACTGGGGCACTCTGAGAAGGGGAGCGTAAGATCATGCAAGGCATATTTGAAGAGGGACCCGGTGTGCATTTTGGGAGTGGGTTTGAAGTGTTGGCAGTCAAAAGTCCATGGTAACTAGGAAATGATAGCAATAATAGTAGTAGTTGTTGTAGTAGTAGGAGGAGGAGGCTGACCATAAACATGAAATCCACAGACCCAAGCCCTGAAGGAACCCCAAGTCAGATTCTATACCCACAACCCCTCCAAATACGAGAAGAAGATGGTAAACATCTCGAACTTCCTTCCATACGTTTCTAGTTGCAACAGCATAAGCTTCAAAAACTGCACAAGTTAACCTCCACACACTAGGCACCAATTTCCAAAAGTCCCCAAACATCGGAGCCCAACTCCACAGCACCTCCCAAAGTAGTCGCTTAGGGCTCAAGATTATGGCCATTCTAGACCTTCCGGCCTCTGGTGGTGTGGAGAATTTGTGGAAGTTCTATAATGTGAACCCCTATGTTGGGGTTTCCATGGATAAGGAACCAGACAAGGGAGTCCCCTATACTGCAGACATCGGCAACCTTCCCATAGGAACCCATCAGCCTGTCAGCAATCAAAAATTGAAACACTTACAAGGACAAGATCCACTACTGGACGCGGCGCCAGTCTTGCATGTTCCTGGGCACTAAGCAGATTTAGGTGTCTAGACCTG